CCCCCCCCCCTCAGGACATGCCCTATAGGAGACAAACCACACATTGGTCGCCTAAAGAAGTCTTTACATACCAGAGTTGCTTAAAGCAGGAACATTATCTCCATTTTTCAGACATCCATTTCCTCCTAAATCCTGCTTCCTCCTCATCGCACAGCTGGAACCGATACAATTTGTATCTTCATCGTCATCATCATTTATCTCTGAAAGAAAGAAGCGCTCACACGCATGACCGCCTTGTGATAACAAGTGCACTCTTCTTTACCGTCATCTTCTTCCATTTTCCTTTCTAACATCTACACCTGGTCTTACCACACACTTAAATGACAGCCAATTTAGGTAACCCTTCAACTTCTTGTTGTTTGTCTTTTTGGTTGAGTTGTGTATTTTGTTCTGCATGTCTTCTGTGTTTTCTTGTGATGGTCCCGTCAGTCTTCTTTGCAATTATTTGTTTGTATTGTTAGTGTTTATTGCTATAGATAACAATAAAATAAATGAAATGTAACTTGAAGAGATAGCGTAAATTCTGATTTGTTCATTTGTTTTTAACTTGTATTGAAAGTTGCAATCATGTTGTCTTCTTGTTAAGCTGTGAAAAACGTTCACACCAGCTGCATTATAGTCTTCTTCTCTTCTATGTTAATCAGTGGGTTGTACATCAAAGAAATTTGGCTTCATATTATCAGCCCATAATAAATATTGGCTGTAATTTCATTATAATACATAATAATATAAATGTCCATTTGTCGGCTTACTTGTTGTCGAGCATCGCCTGTTTTTCTTAAATAATTACATTTCAAACAATATGTTCTTTGCTTTTCGATTTTGACCATTCTCACTGTTGTACTACTTGGTTCTGTATCTCTGACATTGGAATTGTAGGCTATGTAGTAACTTCTTTTGCAGCTACAAAATGGTTGTACTACAGTGTAACAAGCTCTTCCGTTTGCCTCACGCTTGGCCTGTCTCTTCATGTCTGCTCAGAATATAATGAGGAGAGTCAGTAGATTGTTCAACCAGGCACTAAACCCAGATGATCAGATTGTTGTGGTAACATTGGGTTTTAGTATTCGAAGTAAGGACTGCGGGTGTCCTATAGAAGGAGGCAGTATCGTGCAATTGTTAACTGATAGCGTGCTCTAAAGTGTTTTGTGGTGTTGTTGTATAAGAGTTCATAATTCAAAACAAGTAGGCACTGAAGGACTTAGCCATAAGATTGGCTGATGGTTTCTTTGAGTTTTGTTTAGGCCACTACTGCTGCATTTGTAGCTTAAATGTTGTTATTAGTGTCTTTGTTTTATGTCTTTTATTAAGGTTGAATCATTCTTACGTGAAGCAGATTTTTGTTATCTTCCTCAAACATTGCAACATTTTACTACAGTATGGCTGGCCCACAAAGCATTGTGAATTTTGAGTTGCTTTTCACTGTCACCTTGTCGATGTCCTGTGTGTTTCTCTTGCTCTCAATCAATCTTTATTTTCATCTTTCATCTCCCCGTGTGATGACTCTATTTGTGTTGCTTCTTTAAAATATGTCTGTTATTGTCTTAGTTTTTTTTTTCTACCTCAAGATTGATCCCCCTTTCACTTAAGACATGTCCATCTTAAATACAATGTAGGCTACTTCTATTAAAAGTAATAATAAAAAGTAGTAATTTCCTGAAAATGCAAGAATGGCAGCGAGCCCCAGTTGAACTCATGTGGTATGACCTCCTGTTTGGCATTGTCTCATAGCTATACTGAAAGCTCTAACCAAGGACCTTATTCAAAAAAATATATATATATATTATATTTTTTAATATTCCTCAATAGATGCCAAACAGCAAAATATACAACAACAACAAGAAACATATGGTGCAGTTAACTCGTTTTTTATTTTGTAATAATCTTTTTCTAAACTTGGATGGGTGTTTAAAAATACATAAAATTAAAAGTCAAAAATAACATGTGCAAAAGTTTCTTGTTAGTTATTTTGCGCAAAAACCCCTGATCAGTTGGATTCCTATCAAGTTTTGAAAGAACCTCAATCTGCGTCTTAATATTAATTAAGATGGACATTCTTTGGTGTGTTCTCCATTTTCTATTGTTTTCGTCTTCATTGTCCTTCCGTCCTGTCTCCCTCTCTTCCTCTTCGCTCTCTCTTTCAGTCCGTGTGTCCAGATTTCCCTGCAGTTCTTCTCCTTGTGTCTGTCTTGTTTGTAGATGTAGGGGATGAGGAGGAGGCGGGCCCTCTCCGCCGTTTCCAAAATTCTCGGGAGAGGTGCAAGTTCCTCGCCCCCTCCATCTCAGTTTCCGTGCCTGAGGACGACCCCTACCACTCCGACGAGGAGTACTATGAGCACCCATTGTTCAGCCCTGAGTGGACGCACTCGGGCTCCCGCCCCACAGGGCAGGCTGTGGCCTTTAGACAGATCGAAGGTGAACCACGCATGGTTCCTGTTTGCCATTCCCCCACCATTCCTCTCTTTCTCACTCTGTTTCCCTCCTTTCTCTTTTTAACACCTATTGCCTCTCCTTCTGTGATTTAACCTCCATCCCTCCCGTCTCTCCGTCCGTCAGTTTGTCTCTTCCTCCGTCAGTTCGTCTGTCCTTTTGTGTGTTGTGTTTGTGTGTCCTTGTGGTGTCTGTTTGTTCTTGTAATTTTTGTTTGCTCAACAACTGAGCAGTTTCATATTTGTTTAACAGTCATATTTTTTTTTCTTTCATCGATTTCACCCAAAGTCATTGCTACCTGTGGTTGCCATGCTGTTAAATCCAACACATAGCAATGATGTCTCTAAAGTAGGATTCATTGGACATCACTACAGCTCTCACTACAGCTCTCATCAGTAAGTCCCATTGCCACCAAGGTTTACTTTTGTGACTTCAAATAAGTTCCAAATGGTTTTCTGAAGTACAGTGCATGATTAATAACATCCATGCACACGAAACTTTCAGAAATCCCCCACACCAATCTTAAGCTACTAACAAACACACACACAAAATAAATGGCTTTTTTCCCCCCAACATATGCATTCATTCATTTAACACAAGACATTACAATGATTATGTATACATTTAAAAAAAATAGCATAATTGTACTACCCCAGCCTCCCCAACATATTATAATCACCGTTGACAAAAATCTTGTAGTGTGTTTTACTTAAAGTTATAATATGTAGAAACGTCTGGGTGCAAAGCAACTGAACAGAATATTTGTTACATTCAGAACGCAGCATACTCAAAATGTGCAAAGCTGCACACCCTTATCCACCATTAAACAGTAAACAAATCTGGTCTGCGCAATGTCCTGAAATTTGAGGCATTTTAATTGCCTGTAATGGACTGCAGCTCCTCAAGGTTGCATTTTCTTAAGAGCCAGGGATTTCAGAAGTGCTCTGAACAGAAGTGCCTCTACAAGAGCGCAATTTTAGACCTTGAAATATTACGACGATATTTTCATTTTCCAACCTCAGTTGTCAATATGGTAGATATTATACAGATATTAAGAAATACATGTCTGCATGCCTTTAACCAAAGACTATCTTCTTAGTTTCCTTACTGGGTACAATAAGCCCCAAATGTATAAAAGCAAACAAACAGAATAAAAAACTACTTGCACACAACTCTGTACTATTTGTGTAACGTACCTACAGTATATGTGTGAGCAGACATACACTTTAGTTCACCTTTTCATAGAGATGAAAGTGTCCAATCATAAGTTGTGTTCTCACATAACCCAAGTCTGTGTTGCCTGTAGTCTAAATGTGTCCCCCTTTTACCCTGTTTTGGAGAAGAAGAGACCATGGAGGCTCTTACAGCTGAATACGAGGAGGAGGTGGAAGATGAGGAGGAAGAGGAGGAGAGTGCAGCCGAGTCCGAAGCAGCTCTTGATGAGCAGCAGTGGAGCGGGGAAGAGCCTGAGCTGGACAGCCCCCAAGCTGAGCCTTTAGAGCAGGCAGAGGCCATAGACGAGGCCCAGGATCTAGACCTGGAGCCGGGAGAAGCAGCTAGTGCTGCTACAGACAGTTCTGTGGACAGAGATGAGGAGGAAGCAGGGGGGTGGGAGAGCCCTGAGACAGGTGTGTCCTGCCCTCTGCTCTCCCTTTCTGCATGTTACTGCATTGTCCAATGTATAGAAATGCCAGATGTGTCAAAAGGAACATATAAGCACATAACATAAGCATTATAATTCAAGTGGAATGGCAAGTTACCCTCCCCGCACTACTCTCTGGCTGCAAGGCAACACAGGCTTGTTGGTGAAAAGAGTCACATTATTTTAACCTATGCTTTAACTTTTCCCTATTGTGAGCTATTTCTGCGCTTTGATATGATTTTTCCTTGCTGTTGTTTTTGGGGCCGGCCATTTTGTATTGGTATGATCAAGTGAAGTGTTGCTGAATGTAACAGTGCTCTTTTTTCACCGGCTATAAGCCTTTAGGTTTCTTGTTGTGTTTACACGTGGCTTGGTGCTGGTATGCCAGTGCTATGCACTTTTTGTAACCATGAATCATACTTCCTAAACCTGGGTCATTCATATTATTATCATGATCCTGTGCACATCATATGCAGGGGATTTCATGGTTGGCTGTTTCGTGTTAAGTGTGATAGAGTTTCATCAAATGCCTTATCATATCAGCGTTTGTTTGTTTTTGGCACTGTTAGTGACATTGTATGGCATTTCTCTGTCATTCACTAACAAGGTTCTTCTCTATTTGGGTGTACTGATATATGAGTCATTTTTAAGATGAAAAATGTAATCGATATCAATATATTTATAACTATGTGATATATTTGAATTCGTGAAAATCGCATTCTGTGGTAGCCATTGTAGAACGAATGACAGAAATGTTGTACTTCTTTCATTTGATGTTTTGAAGACTTGCATGAATATCCATCCCATTAATTGTTCCCCATAAATCAGCCTCACAGTTTCCTCATGCCGGTTCCGTAACATGCCATGCCATATTATCATCCATCTGTGACTTGGTGGACCCCATAAACTCGCCGTACTTCTTCAGCGATGGCCGTATCATTGTGCTGTAAGTTTCTGAGGAGAGCTTTGCCTGTTTCTGTGGTAACGGCTTTCCTAGTCACTGGCTTAATAAATATCTCACTTAAAGCATGCCAAAGCTTTGTTATTATCTGTTGATAAAAACAGCAAACTTACAGATGTTCTTTCAGCTTTAAAGATGGACTCAGACAAGCAGGGAAGCGAGAAAAGTGGTTCCATGAGCCCGGACAGCATTGGGTCGGAGAAACGTCCAGAGGAGTCTTTTGAGCCCCAGATGCAAGGGTTCTTTGCTGGGGAACGAGTTGTACCAGAGAGTCCCACCATGGATATGCCATCCTTTGTACCTCCAAATGTTCAAAACCAAGCCAAAGAATCTGCCAGCTCACTCACACTTCAGCCTACATATGGCGAGCCAATCACAGTGTCAGAGAAACAGCCATCAGTGGAAGTGGTGGAGATCATCAGCATCGGTGCTTCCTCAGATTTCTCATCACTGGGAGACAAAAGTCAGGTAGAAGTCTCAACGAGGGACTCTGCAGACAGATCTGGCATGTCAGCATATTTTGAAACATCAACTGTGGAGGTTGAGGAGTCTTCCCAATGTAAGGCAGAGGGTTATTACGAACTGAGCAGATCTGGTGAAGAGAAGAGTGCAGTTGACGACAGGCCCCCGGAGATCAGCTACAGCACACTAGCTGAAGCTCAGGATAAACCGGAAACTAAGGAAAGTACATCAGAAGACAGTAGATTGTTCATAGTTCCCGACAAGAGTAATGAATGCAGGCTTTCCCCTGGTAAACTGGCCTTAGAGCAGAGGAGTTACTCACTTAACATTACCATTGGAGCAACTGATCCGAGCGGCCGGGGCAAACCTAGGAACTTCTCTCCACTGGCCACAGATATCATGTCCTACACTAGTGGAAGTCTAGATGAGGCAGCAGACTACCTCCCAGTCACTACACCCTCTGTGGATAAGCCTCCACCCTTGCCTCCACTGATATTGGAAACTGCGGCTTCCATCACTTCAGATTCTTCATCTCCTCCAAGGACCACAGAACCAGTTTCAGTACCCAGCCCTGAACTGGAGTCCCCAGAATCACCACAGTCCCTTAAGAGCAACTTTAAAAATGGCGCTGTCATGTCGCAAGACTTGCCTGAGATGCTGGATCTCGCTGGTACCCGTTCCCGGCTGGCATCAGAAAACACTGAACCAGATATCACCAGGAGAAAGTCAATTCAAGCTGATTTTCAAGCCTTTGCAGATGATCCACTAGCAAGCATGGTTTCAGGAGAACTAAGTCCTAGTGCCAGAAAGAGTGAAAGCCAGCTAGAAGAAATGGGCTATTGTGTGTTCAGTGAATACTCAGGTCCAATGCCATCACCTGCAGATATGTTCGGCCCTACAAGCGTTTCTGCACAGGCTTTCACCCACTCTGACCTTGAGGAAAAAGTGGCTGCGCAAGCTAGGAAGTTAGCAGTCAGAGACACGTCTATGGAGGACATAGGGATGGCTGATGTCACTAAAGAGAAAGACCACAAGCAAGTAGAAAGAAAACATTCTGCTGAAGAAAAGGGAAAAGAGGTTGCAGATGAACAATCCAAACAATATGTAAGCGACACACCACCGGCTCAGCCAAGTGAGTCCTTTGTGACACCAACAGTCACTGTTACTTTAGAAGAAGGCGGGAGGGCGGGGAGTGAGACCGGACGACAAGCCAGTGGCGAGGGCTCAGCCTCAGAAACCGAGATTGCAGACTATGAGAGGCAGATACGTAAATTAGAAATGGAGGACAGGCCCCTTAGTATGGAGGAGGAAAGGGAACTGCAGGAACTTCGAGAGAAAGTAAAGCTGGTCCACCAGGAAGCCTATGAGGAAGTGGATGCAGAAGATGTGTACCAGCTGACTGGCGTGGCAAAGGACCGGATTGCTAGGCCTGTAAAAACATCACCTGCTTCGTCTGTTGATAGCAACATTGATGATGACAAGCTGCTCTCTCCAGTGCTTTCACCATCAAAACTTAAACAGAGAGAAGTGTATGGGTCCCCTAAAAGAACGGCTTCACCTGTGTTAGGAATAAACAAAGAGAAAGAGGAGTCAGAAAGAAAAACGAGGCAAGAGCAAGAAAAGGAAGCTGCGGAGAAGAAAATGAAAGAAGAGAAAGATGAAGCAGATAGGATAATCAGGGAAGAGGCTGAAAGGAAAGAGAAGGAAATTAAAGAGAGAGAAGAAAGGGAAAGGAAAGACAAAGAAGAGGCAGAGAGGATACTGAGGGAAGAAAAAGAAAGGAAGGAGAAAGAACAGAGAGAACAGGAGATAAAAGAAATAGAAGAAAGAGAGAATAAAGAAAGAGAAGAGAGGAAAAAGATGGAGGAAGAGAGACAAAGGAAAGAGAAAGAGGAGAGAGAGAAAAAAGAAATAATGGAGAAGGAATTGAAAGACAAGATAGAGAAGGAAAAGATAGAGAAGGAACTGAAAGAGAAGGAACTTAAAGAAAGGGAATTGAAAGACAAGATAGAGAAGGAATTGAAAGAGAAGGAAGAGAAGGAAAAGATAGAGAAGGAACTTAAAGGGAAGGAAGAGAAGGAAAAGATAGAGGAGGAACTTAAAGAAAGGGAAGAAAAAGAAAAGATAGGGAAGGAACTGAAAGAGAAGGAAGAGAAGGAAAAGATAGAGAAGGAACTGAGAGAGAAGGAAGAGAAGGAAAAGATAGAGAAGGAACTGAAAGAGAAGGAAGAGAAAGAGAATAAAGAAAAGGAACTGAAAGACAAGGAAGAGAGAGAGAAAATGGTAGCAATGGACACGCCTGATGATATATCAAGACAACCAGAGGTGCAAGCAGCCAAGCAGAATGTGGCAGTAGAAGCAGTGGATGCTAAAAAGGGGCACAAGGAAGAGGAAATAGAGAAAGTAGCCGCAGGATCAGCAGTGGCAAAGGAGATCCCAGAGACTCGTGCTGCCATCGAATCAGTGGTCACAGTTGAAGATGATTTCATCACTGTGGTCCAGACCATCGACGAAGCAGATGAGCCGGGACACAACGTTCGTTTCTCTGGTCCACCTGAAACAGGAGCCTCAGAGGAAGAGGAAGAGTCTGTGGAGTTGGCCCAAGAAGCTGACCTGGAGGCGGCAAGTCTAGAGGAAGTAGTAGATGTTCCTGAGACCCCTGCCTTCCCTCTGAAAGAGGCTCAAAGCATTGACACCGATGGACCCACAGAAAGTTATGATAGAGATGAAACCACAATTGACGACTCCATCTTGGACAGCTCCTGGATTGACACACAAGGTGAGATCTCTTTGATGGTTTGTCTGTTCAAAGTGTACTTTTTCCTCCTTTGCTCTTCTGCTTCCAATAAAAACACATTAATACTGTCTTGTATTTCCCATGTCCTTCTTTGCTACACCACAGATGATGATGATAAGAGTATGGCGACAGAACAGTTTGAGCCTTTGCCTAAGTCAAGTGCAGACAAAAAGGAGAAGCAGACACAACAGAAAAAGGCGGAGAAACAGCCGGTCAAACCAAAGGCCGGACGGGCTAAAGGCCGAATCTCTACACCAGAACGCAAGCTTGTCCGCAAAGAACATATCTTCGTGCCGAGAGAAGACAACAAGAAGAAAAAAGGTTCTCACAATTTTTCATTCCTTTTGAATTCTTGAACTTTACAGATGAACAAGTATTTATTTATAAACATTGATATAAAATTCGTATTTGATACTTGCTGCTCGAAATCTGCAGGGATTGTTATACAATGAATATTTGTATTTAGTCTGCTTCTTGCTCCTGTCTGTGTAAAGCCAGACATCATGTGCCTTAATAGTGTTTTCTGCTGTAAATCCAAAAGAACACAGCATCTTTGACTGTATTGCTTCACTATACAAATACACACAATTGCACTCCTATAATAACTCACTGACAGTGATTTGAGTCAACTGTTTTTAGTATAGTCCAACAAATGTGTTAGCTAACTTTTTTTGAATGGGGAAATCTTATTCTGTAGAATTACATACTTTATGTTTAAGCCTCTATCTATGCTTATGATTCTCTCTCTGCTTTTGTCAATGCCTCGATTCCTCTGGTAGCTGTGATAAGGACCGAGTTTACAAAAAAAATGCAGACACACAGTCAATCGCCATCCAAGAGAAATGTGATGAAACCAGCCGCCCGCCAGACCCAGCATCACTCCTGTCCAAGAAGGAGACCCACAGGTGACACATTGCCTTGGTCTGTCAAAAGATTAAAAAAAAGGTGGCACGATAGACACCAGTTTCCATCCAGCTTCATTTGGATCACGGCATCCATTTTGTCTTGTTTGTTACTTGGTTTGCTTTGTCCTGTTTCTTGTTTTTCATAATAAAAAAGTACTGCCATACATGTTTTTATTTGCCTTCATTTGTGTTGTGCTCATCCTTGATGTTCTTTAAAGGGCATGATGTCCTGCAGTTAAAAGTTTGGGATTTGAGGATTCACTAAACTCTTTCCAAGTTCTCGTCTACATCACTACTGCAAGGTCAGCAAAAGCAAGATGTTCCGCTGATGTTAAGCTACTCAAAGGCATTTTTCCCTACTGTTAACATTGCCTGCCCTCTGTTTATATGTTCTTGGTGAGCTTTTACATTATTATACTTATACTTTATATACATATTTCAAATAATTTTAACTCAAATGTCTGTTAACTTACTGGTCTCTTTAAGCTTTACATTACAGCTTTTTTCAACCTATCGTTGCCAGGCTACTAGTAATCCATGGTTTTGTTCTATGGACCTTATGTTGGAGACCGTCCCAGAGGCAGGGTGCTCTTCATTTTCCCCGACGGGCTGGATTCTGTGTCACTGGTGATGAGGGCTCAGTACACTGCTGCATTGCCCCAATTAGATTATTTTCCAGGGTTGCCTTGCATAATACAAAATCCCCCAATCTGTGTGATATCTTGCCAAATCTTTACAGAATAGAGCCCTTAGCAACCTGCTCCCACAGAACATTCGATTTTCATATAGCACACCATGTCAGGTTTGGGAATACAACATTGAGACCCAAATATGCTCTTGTATACAGAATCCTTTAAAGTAGGACATGAAAACGGTTCTCACTTCTCTCTCTTCAGTATATGAAGGTCATAATATCTGTCTGTGTCCAATAATGTTTTGTTTCTGTCTCTTTCTTAGAGGCGCTACCAGACAGTCATCAGCCTCTGAGTGTTGCCAGACAGTCTCGCAACAGAGCATCGGTGAGTAAACTACATTGACCCAACATTGGTGTGAAATCTGACTCCGAAACAACTCAGCGAAATACCACATCGAAGCTTTAAAGACAAACAGCCAGAATCACCAAGCAGGTTTGCAGAAAGGCAATTAAATAAACCTCAATCAGATAGAAACCACACATTCTACTCAACAGCAACAAACAGTACTCTGCATCTTCAATACATCTGTAGACATAAGAATGCTATGCAACAAGAAGTGCTTCTGTATTACAGATTGCTAATAATGCATCATGAAGTCAACAGATTTCAATGTTTACCCCTTTCTTCTAATGTGAAACTAATACACAAGTTGCCTCATGCATCGTTACAGCAGAAACAATTAACAACACATTAATTACGCAGAATAATTATCATCAGAACTGAGACTTATTAAGAACTTATTGCAAATTATCTCTTGTGACTTCCAGGGCAACCTAATCATCTTTTTAGATAAACACCTGCCTGTTTGTACTGTTTAAGCAAGTGCTGTCTCCACTCTGACTATCTTAACCCTAACCCCCGCATGAACAACACTGCATAGCATTTATGCACAAACACCACTGTTTTCTTTTGTGTTTTATGAAAAAATATTTATTTCGTTCTTTGTAAATTCTCTGCTATTGTTGCCTTGCTTAATGGGTTTTGCACAAGTACACAAGGCAGATCCATTTAGAGCTTTTTCTTTTTTACTGAGTGGGTGTCGGATCACCCTGTGACATTTCTCCTGCGGCTATGGTCGTGACTCCATTCTACTCCTCCGCCATGGTAATGACAGTTATTGTGTCTAAAATAAAATAGTATCTGCATTTCTAAAATGTCATGTCATTACTGCATACTGTAAGTGTGTTCTGTCAGTCTGAGCCCATATGTTATTTTACTTCTGGTTTACACATTCTATTTACAGTCTCCCAATACATCTGTTACCATGGTTTGCAGTCTACTTGTTTTTTTGTTTGGCATTTTGATTGTATACATTTAAAAAACAAATGTAACTGGCATGTTCATAATCAATGTGCATGATGTGTTGTGATGAGCTATAATTCAATGTTAAACAGCCATGATCCAATGCTAATATCTCATTCCTCATACCACAATCGGATCTTGTGCACTGATAATGCATGTTTTAGCGCTGTTATTTTCACCACTCTTTTGTCACCTTGTGTTGTATATTTTGATGCCATTCTACTCACCCAACAAGCCTCATCTTTGTACCATCTCAGGGCCATGCCCATCGTTCTCCACTAACAAAGGTCCCCGCCTCCATATCCAGAGTGGCTGCCTCATTAGATAGATCTCGCCCAGCCTCAGCAGAGCCTCACTGCTTCACAGTAATACAGAAACTCATAGCAGAGGTAGGTGAATGGTAGAGCGGAAAGAAAAGACATAAAAACAGATTCATAGTTGGATTAAAAAACACTTCTCTGCGATATTGACCACCTAAACCTATTGTATCCCTATTGATTAAAAACATTAAAAAGAAATAACAGCCTCACTACTCTAAGGATCTACTTTTTGTCCCCCACGTTTGTTTCCTACAGGACGGTGGGTCATGGAGCCCTAAAAAGAGGTCCTCTGTGCCGCGGCATGCCCCCATTCTGAGTCACCGTGCACACCTTGAACACGAGGAGAGCTCCACCTCCATCACCAGCTCCGGCTCCTTGGCTCCTCGCAGACCCACATGTAGGCTGCAGATCCTCTAATCAGCTTTCTAAACGATGTCTCGGTATTTAGGTGGTATTAGATTAAACCAACAGCAACATGTATCAGCCTTCAGTAAAGCCACAACAAATGGATTCTACCAGTATAAAAGTAGTTTCTTTTAATCAATGCTGATTATTATTTGTGTAGTTTCTTGCATTTGACTAAAGAGAGCTCTAGTCTGCCAAAAACTCTCAGTACCTCCATATGTCTCTTTGGGCTTCTTTCTGATAATCTATGCTGCTGTGCTCAAAACTAATTTAGGTGGCTTGTGTAGGATCTACTCTCCTAGAAATGAATAGGAAAATAAGTCTTTAAGTATTCAATAACATTCTGTAGCAGTATTCTCCAGTTCTCTCAAGTGCCTTTTAACCATTCTCTATGTCACAGTGATTTTTTGTTATGTTCTATTTACTACTTACCGTATTACAGGTCAAGGTGAAAGAATTGGAGCATGCAACACTCTCCTTTTCTTCTTTATTTCTCACCCTCAGCCTCCACTTAACTACACTTTTCCTTTCCTGCTCCTGTAGCGTTTCAAACCGAGATGAGGGCGGAGCACAGGACAGGACGAGCCCCTAGCATGACAGGTAGAAGGGATTCTTAAAACTTCTGACACTATGGTGCTTTATTGCTATGTTTAACCTAAAATAACTAGTGACTTCAATTGTTTATGGTTAAAATATTTGAATCGGAGACCTGCATTTAGTATTTTCCAGTGTCATTCTGTATATCTGGTAGTCTGAAAAGTGACTTTCAAAGGCTTAAAGTCATAGCGTCTGACAAACTAATGATTGACTCTTCCCTTCGGTTTTTTTCTCATTTGAAGTTAACATATGTTACCATAGTTTATTCAGTTGTATATACTGCAGCTTTAGCTTTTTCCTTCATCCTTATATTCCTCTCCATCAATTACAGATTCAGTGCGCTCCCGATCAGCTCGCAGTGGCCACTCCACCCCTCGCACCCCCGGCTCCACAGCCATCACCCCAGGAACCCCTCCCAGCTACTCATCGTCCTCAAGGACCCCGCGCTCCCTCAGCCTGATTTCCGGGGAGAGGAAGGTTGCCGTGGTCCGCACCCCACCCAAGTCCCCTGCCACCACGCCCAAACAGCTCCGCATCATCAACCAGCCTGTGCCTGACTTCAAGAACATCAAGTCCAAGGTTGGCTCCACAGAGAACATCAAGTACCAGCCCAAAGGAGGACAGGTGACGCTCTTCTCCCTTACTTCCCACAAAACCTTTAGCTCCTATTTTATTGTATGTGAATTTTCTTTAATCTACGCAATGTTGCAATCCTATTTATACTGGTTATTGCTTCTAAAAAGTATATTTTTGTTGGTACCCATAATAACACATTTGATTTACTACTATATAATCGTGCCGTTTTAAGTAAGATATCTGCAAAGAAACTTGGCGATTATCTTCTACAAGAACTTAACCTTATTCTTCCTTTGAACCTTAAAGCAACAGTGAAGGATTAAGTGGACAATTAAAACAGAAAACACACTTGCCATGACACTTTGGATAAATGGAAAGAAAAAACAGTAGAATATATACCATCGATATGAAACCTAATTTATCTGTAAATGTTCTGATGAAAATTGAATTGCTAGAAGTGTTTATGTCTAAAGTCTTCTGGCTTTTCTTCTGCCTTGAGAAATGTATTTCCCATGGCCCCCTCTCTCCTACCTCTCCACTCTCGTTGTCTTGTTGTATTCTCTTAGTAACCTCTTTCCACTGTTATTCCTTCAATCCTGCTGACTAGCCAGTTTTCCACCAAGTTTCCAAGCCAGTAAAATGCTATAAACTCTTTGAAAAGCTCTACTTTGGATAACATCACATTGATATACAACAGGGGGTAGATGGAAGAGATTCAAGTGTGTAGCATTATTTTCTTTCAACCAAATACCCCATGTCTCCATGCTGTCCATGTTGCTCTGTGTGTGATGGATCTACACAAGAGTAGGCAGTTGTCTTAGAAAGCAAATATAATTAAAAAATGTTGATGCTGTGAGGTTGAAATAGCCTCTTCCTTTCTGCCTCTCTGCTCTCCTGTGATCCAAATGTGCCCAACGCAGCTTTGACATCATTCAGAAAAAAATCCAAATATATTCCAAATAAGGTATTGCCATCCACGGATCAGTAAGTTCCTGAGGATAACAAATGAGGTGGAGATTTTAGAAGGATTTCACCACAAAATGTAATATGTTGTAAAGTCTTGAGGAAAATAACAGGCCTTTAGGATTCAAATATGTACCTGTACAGGACAGGAGGCCCCACATTTAAATAAAAAAGAAAGTGACCTGGCTTTGACATCTCAGTGAGCAGTATTGATCCCTTTGATTCCCCCCCTTGAGCTCTGGGAACTGAGAACAACACTTCAGCTACTGTAACAGAAATCTGCACTTCAAATCCTGTTTTCACCATGGCTGCACTTATTCTGCATTCACAGGGTTCACCCCAAAGTTTGACAACTATCGTGTTTCAGTATGAAATACAGACTCAGCGCTGTAACACGAAGAACAGTGAAAAAACTGCAGTTTGTCAGTAGCCATCAGCTCTTACAAGCCTTCACTGATGACCTGATTAGGAGTCTAAGCGTTTGCCTGACATCTTTATGACTTGCCAGTTCTCTGCGCCTCTCTGTGCAGCCAGCCACAAAACAGGGAGGGATCATGCTCCAAAAGCCTTCCTGTCATCTGCAGGAGAAACGGCCTGACTAGAGCTTTTGTGCAAGCATGCGTTCTGGTTCATAATCAGTTACTATGCAATATGGCTTGCAGTATTGTTCCTAGCATGCAAGTATTTTTTGCAGTGAAGGCTTGTGGTAAAATAAGGATGCAGGCTGTGAAGACAGGGCGACGGCTCACCACATAAACTTTTATTCTCACATTTCTGATGTGATTATGTGGTGTAATGCAGCTAAAAGTTGTCATATCGTGCAATATTAAGTATTTGTAAGAGGTTGCCTTGCATATGTAGTCCAAGTTCAATTTTAGCTTTTGTCAATGGCTGTGGTGGGCCAATTCTCGAGGGGAGATTTTATTATGTGTGCTTGTCTTTACCTGCAATTACGTCCCTTCCTTTTTTTAAATCTCTTTTCTGCAACACAGGGTGTTATGTAAGAATATGACCTCTTCATGAGATACATGCAGCACTTTATCCAATTATTTAAACATTTCTTACGTCATAGGTCACGATTTCCACAACAAATCCTATCTTTAAGTTAATTATTTAGCTTCTAATGGATTTAAAAGGTAGTACCGTACTTCTTATACATTTGCACTTCTCTTCTGGAGCCAAGACAGGCACAGGTAGCAATTGGCTGGTAAAAGTAGCTCAGCATAAATCCATATCCATATCCATATCCATCATTTAATCTCCAAATTAATTATAATTTGCTTCTCTAACTTCTGGATGTGTAAATTAGCAACAGTAATATTGCCTTATTAACAGTTGGCACTTCAATATGTTTCTTGTTAAACCATGAAATTGTAATGTTTGTATTTCAATGAGGGGTATTTTTCTGGCTGCAGTTGTTACCTAATGTTGTGTTTTGTCTAGAATACATTTGATGCCTTTACTCACAGCACCACAGTGTGTGTGTGTGTGTTCACATGTGTGTGTCACCCCTGGGTGGCAGTAGGTGTCTCCTGTCAGACACAAAATGATGTTGGCAGCTTTCGTCTAAGCACAGGGGTGACTGCCTGGTCAGAGCGGTCATCCTGAGTGTCTCCAGACAAAACCAAACTCAGCTGTTTGTGACAAAAGCACCTCGGAGCGGAATGATAAGTTACTAACTTAACTTGAAGATATGAACAGAGGATATTTCTCAAGTTATATAATGACCATTTTAGCTCCCTGCGGGTTACCAAGCCATGCTACACTTCAGAGAGATGATGCACTCAAGTTCATGAAGTCTTTTTATGTAATGAACCAAAAAATTCAGCTTTTTTGTTTTACTTATCTGCTGCAGCTAACAGACATGAGTAGTTCATGTAGAGTTCTCTGCACTGAAGCCCCTGGATGAATTATGTAAGGATGGCGGGATGGGAGTGTACTTTGCTTTTTCTCGACAGCAGAACATTTGAAAGGTAATGGTGACATGTAAGATCATCTTAGAGCTTCCTGCACACACAGTTAGAAAGTCGGAATAAATAAGCTGATGATACTGCTGTATTACTCTCAATTTACCCGGCTGTCCTGAACCTACGACTGAAATATTACTGAAAATATCCTCTGTCGTATATTGCTGTTGTTGTCCAGGACGCTTGCGCAAGACATGCACCTGTGTTTTCAGCTCAGTTACAAAAAGGTTCCTAGTACTCTGCTAAGTTGTGATTGGCCTTTACTAGCTTAGGCATGGTAGAATCCTTTCCAGCCATAGTGGACTTTTAAAACTGATTTATTCTGACAGCAGGATACTCCTCTCCTGACCTTCATTAGTGCCTTGTAGTTCTGTGGTCAAAGTAGTTCAGATCCCCCCCTACCCTTGGCAGGCCTCTGCCCAGCCACTGCCCAGTCTCTGACCTCTTCGTTTACTGTCCTCATAGAAACACACGGAACTAAATATCCTCACAGAGGCCAAACACAGGGTCTCGTGGATCTGGAAGTCAGTGCTGCGCATCGTCTCCCTCACTCTGTGCCTATCAGCAGCGCACAGTGTGACCTGGACAAAAGACCTGCTGGTACACCTGAGCACTGTTAATTATGACACTGCATGTTTGATAGAGTGTGCCACTAAATAATTAATAACCTAATTTAATTTTAAACCTTATCACTTAATAGAGTTAATACATTTTATAAAGAATGATTGGTTGATTAAGTGTGCAAATGTAATAAGGCTTAATAAAGCCAAAGTAATTTACAAATGAATAATTCTGTTCATTTAGCTTTTGCTAAATTAATTGATATTTGATTTTAAAAAAATATTTAAATGAAGTCCAGCACCTTGGGATTGCTGTGAGCAATGAAAGGTGCTTTATAAATCAAATTTATTATTATTATTATTATTATTATTATTAACTCACACAGCAGCAGCTGTTTGGACAGTTGTTATATCATATAGTCATCTGTGGTGGATCGTGCCTCCACACATGACTCTATCATGTGTGTTAAACATCATTATTTGTAGGTTCCTACATCTTTGAATTCAAGAAATTGTCTATAAATAAAATGCTTATTACTTTTAATTGTTTCAGCATGCAACAAACTGTACATTTGAATATGATAGTCAGCCCCATAAGAAGAGGTATGTTTAAAAGTATTTCATTTTGCAAAACCGTACTTCTACATTTTAATTGATGAACAATTGTATTAATTAATTAATGCACTTAAAGTATATGTGATAGAATTAGGAAAGTCTGCATTTCCACGCTAAAGACTTAACTTAACCATGATGGGAACACAATGATAATCACATTTTCTGGTTCACTTCCTCATGGGGCACAAGTTTCTTAGAAAGTTTGAGTTTGAAGAAATTCTACAAATATATTCTGCAAAGTGAAGCAGGAGACTGTTGTAAACAAACTAAGATTGAAAGGCTTTTTTTATTGTATCAAAATTCTAGTCAGCAACAGAGGACATTCCTCTTTTTATATAAATGTTTTGTTTGTCCTTCTGAAGTATTTCTTCCAGTGGCGGTATGATAAGCATTCATTCCCCTTCACGATGTAAGAGGCCCATACTATCTCTGTATTTCTCCATAGAGTCATATTTTAAACAAGAAGCCGGACCTCACTCACATAGAGACACAATGCAGCTCCAAGGATAATCTGAAGCTCTCTCCCCGTGGAGGCAATGTATGTACCATTATGTCTATCTAGTGGTTTTCCCCCTCTTGATCCCTCAAAGTTTGAAGACTATGATTTCATTCTGAATTGTTCCCACAGTATATTTCTGTCCTACTAAGAGACATGCAGCACATTGCCTTGTTGGGCTTTGCAGATCTGGATACAGTGCTAGGTCCTCTATCATAGTACCTTAGTTTGTCTCTTCCCTGCACACACCTATATTTCCACTACTGTTTAAGTCTTCTGATGTTATATGTAGTTCATTGTCTCACTGTTCACACTTAGCATGTTGTTAAACCAAAGTGACTTTTAAAGCTTAGTGTCACCATTTTATTTATTAAGTGTTATACTCTCCTGAAATACACATGGGCAGCCAAAAAAAACGTAGCAGCTGGTTTGACAGCATCTGATTTTAGCCATCTTCTTGCTGTGAGAGCCATAAAGCCCAAAATAAACCAACTGTCTGGCACCAAAGATGCCTTACTGTTAAAGAAAGCCAGCTGACCAAAACCTGCTGGCAAATGTCTGTTGCCCTCAATGCCCTCAGCAAGTCACTTACCATCCAACAAAAGTGGCTTTTAATTGGAGCGGGTTCAATGGCATATTTTTAGCTGTGGTTAGTTTCCTGTGTAATCCTTTAATACTATATATCTTGTGTAATGTCTCTTGTTTGGTAGTTAGTTGTCACTGTCTTGGTGCTGCTATCTAGGATGTTCCCAGAGACTAGAAGTTGGTCTACCACTAAGTGAAATGCGTTAGAAATGTTAGCTTTTGCTTTCCATGGTAATGGCTTTGATTTTACTTTTCTTCATGGCAAATGTTGGATTCTGGATGTCGTCCAAATTTGATTTTGGTTTGCCCACCATTCTTCACATATTTTACCTTGCTTCCAACTTAAAATGTGTCCCACAGTTTACAGCAACAAAAATAGCTACACATTTGAGAGAGAGATCTGTACTCTAATTGAATACTTTTGTTTTTTAATCGTAAAGTGTTATACTATAATTTCAAAGCATTTTAAAGTCTTCCTTTGGTCCACTCAAGTTTATCTCCTCATGGTCTCTTCTCCTCCTGTAGAGCTCTTTAGTGCTCTGTGCACAACATGTATCGAATACGTATGTGGTGTGTAAGTCTTGTTCCCACTGCTTTAATTGTGCTGCGGGATAAATGTATTCATCGTTAGTGTTATGTACTGTACCAACTCTGCTGTGTCTGCATCTCACTCTTGCTTTCTCTCGTTGCAGTAAGAGGTATTACCAATGCAGCACTCCCATATTTTATCATACTCGCCCCCTCAATTAATCATTTAAATATTTACTGGTTCATATGGAATCTACTTGAGTCTGAACAGAGGATCTGCACAAAATATCAACCTCACTCAAGCTCTGTAATAAATTTGTCTTAGTCACAATAGCCCTTATTTGCCATTATATGGAATCCAGTGTTTTGAAGGAGGTAAGATTGTTTTCTGAAGGTGGGCCGGGATTAAAGAGGATCCTCCTTAGGAGTAATAGGTCATATCCAGAAACGAATAATACAAAAACCAGGCTGATATGAAGCTCATCCTGGGTTGTGAGATGAATCTAATTGGCCTCTTAGCTTAGAGCCATGGTATCTATCGAAGCTGTTTGTCCAGAGCAAAAGTGGAACCTCCAGGTTGAATATCAATGCCTCAGTTACACTTAGACAAACTCGGATGTCTAGAACAGAATATTTAAACAAGAGACATGAATAAAATGAAGTGCCAGAAAGCCCAAGCCTTCTCTCACCTCACTCCTCGCCTCCGCCTGCAGGTTCTCATCCCCAATGTTAAACTGGACTATAGCCATGTTCAGTCTAGGTGTGGGTCCTTGGACAGGCGGGGCTACTCTGCAAGAGGTGGAAAAGTGAGTCCTGTTCCGCAAGTCCATTGTCTCAGTGTTCATGTCAGATTCCTCTGTTGTGTTGTGTTTGTCAGTGGTTCATTATGTTGTCAAAGGAAACACGTGCCACCTTTTTATATGGATGTCTAATCAGCGTTGAAGGTCAATTTAATCAATTGAAGCAGTCAATTCCTCAGTGTGTGCTATATTGACAGAGGCCCAGGGTATCAGCAGGAAGAGAAACTACAAATCCCAGCTGAAGGAGGACATAAGTTATTTCTTACCTGCGTCTTCATAACTGTCACTTTAAATGACAGCGCTACATGCAGGGAAGAACAACAGAATGACAGCTGAAAACTCAGCTTCCTCTCTCAATATAGCAAACACTGAGGATATTAAAGTTGTAATCAACCTTTATCGTCAACAGTGATTGGAAATAAATATCAAAGGTGGAATTTCCCTTTTAGTCCCTCACTCATTGGACCAGCAGTGCAGGTGCTGTTTACCTATCAACATCATTCTCCAGAAGTGATTTGTGTCCAGTGAACAATTGGAATTTTAACAGCTGGATGTCTCCTCCCCCAGCACTTGATTACATTCAGGACAATAAGATAATTTTCCTTCTGAAATAACACCAACAAGAATGGGTGGAGGCACCCCTTCAAGGCTTACAAAAAAAACCCACAAACACCTTTTATTCATAATATACTAACACTAGTTTAACTAATTATAAATGCCATCACTGTAGTTGATGGATTTCATTAAGATACCATCGCTGAAGGGATGAGCCAACCTGCAGTTGACACAAACCTCACGTCATCTCTGATGCTGCATTTCTGTGTTAAGCCTGTGTAAGGGACTCGTGGTAGATGAACAGCCTATTGTGGACTTTGTGCTCACGTTGTTGTGCTTTCCTATTGTGATCAACAATCTGCATCAGTACAAGTGAGACACTTTTGCTGTCATTTCTTTCTTCTCAGGCTCTGCGAGCAAGGAGACTAAAATCATTGGTTACAAAAGACATCAACTATATTGTTGACTTGAAAGTAATAGCTGACCACAGGCAGGTTGCAGTTAATAACCTCTGGACGTGGTGTATCTCTTCCTGTTCTTTCTGCTGTTTCTAAAGTGTTTTATCTCTGCTCCTTCAGCCGGTTCACTCCTTAGATATCCCTCTGTAGTTTTCTCTTCAGGTCCCAAGGATGTGTCCCATAGATACATATCCTTACCCCCCCTGCCTGTGGCCATTTTGAACTGTTCTCTACTGCCTTACTCACTGTTGTCCCTTATTGACAGGTTTTCTGATTAACAAATGTATCTCAAGAAGACAGTTACAGCACATTGTATTCTATCTTGGTTTGGTTGGTTTAACAAACATCTTTTTTCTGCACGGCAGAACACAGTACTTTGATTTAACCGTGGTCTTATGTTCTCGTGCTTCCATGATTATGTTTTCTGATAATTACATGGAATTAGATCGCTGTGTTGTAATGTGAATCCGATGTGAAATATTACAGAAAAGGGAAGATACTATTTTGATCTTCTATGAGAGAACCTTTTAATCTCAGTGGGAGTCTATGACCTCGTTGTGCACTGTAAGCTCTGACCTTCTCCTGACTTTGCTTCTTCAAGGTGATGATACAGAACAAGAAGATAGATCTGAGCCACGTGACCTCCAAGTGTGGCTCACTAGACAACATCCATCATCGGCCAGGTAACCCTTGAAAAACTGATTTTTAATGAATGAAAAAGTGGTAAATGGAGTCAGATAATGTCTACAGAAACTATTTAAGTCCTTAATGTTGGAAAGAATAACATTACTTTTGAATGAACACTGCAGACCTATATTTAATACAATCCAGAAAAGATTTAGGAGCACTATCAGCATGGATTCCGAATGACACTGTGTGCCCACAGCTCCATCTGCTGGTCTCTTTGGGTCTTTCCATTTGATATCCTTTATGCACTGCTTGCTCTTTCATGACATCATTAGGCATGTACTTATCAAATGGCGTTTGTTTCAACATATCAAAGTTTTGTACAAGCAAACTCTCCAACCACCTAGACTTTTCTTTCACCTTGAACTTTGGAACCTTAGTCAATATCTCATGCCAATACTCTGTAAGGATTTGACCCTTCTTTTCTTCTCCCAAGGGGGCGGTCATGTGCGTATAGAGACAGTGAAGTTGGACTTCAAAGACAAAGCCCAATCCAAGGTGGGTTCCCTGGATAATACTCAACACACTCCTGGTGGAACCCGTCTCCCGGTGAGTGTCAGCTTCATAATCCAATCAATGATTTAAAGGAAATGAATTATTTGAGAGATTGTGGTGCTCTCCACGTCTAGATATAGCCTGCCATGTAACTGATGCGTGATGCATAGGCATTACAGTTGCCTTAAGTGGATTAAGTATGCATATAACATATATATATGTAAAGAATGTGCTTCACAGCCAATTTTGAAAAATGTTTTCCTCATCTGCATGTGAAAGCAGCCGCAGACGTGTAGTATACAATGCCATCAATACATAATGTTGCGGTCAGTTAAGCTCTGAAGGCAACACTGTATACAAGCTAAACCCTCTGAGTAAAGTCTGGAACAGAAGGGCGTAGTTCTCTAAAGTTAGCCTTTGGAGTAGTGCTACTTATTGAACCTGACTCACAGAGACTCACACACATAATAATAATTCTACACAAATTTTATATTTCTTCCTTCCCATCCACATCTCATATCACACCACCCGCCTCTGTTAGATTGAGAGCCAGAAGCTGATGTTTCGCGACCAAGCCAAGGCCAGGGTGGACCACGGTGCTGACATCGTGGTCCGGTCGCCGGACCTGTCGGGCGTGGTGTCCCCGCAGCGCCCCCGGGACAGCCAGCTCTCGTCCTCTGGCAGCCTCAACGTGCTGGAGTCTCCGCAGTTAGCCACGCTGGCTGAGGACGTCACTGCGGCTCTGGCCAAGCAGGGTCTGTGAACACTGGGTCTCTGGATCCCTGCTCTGCAACCCGGGCATCTCCATCACGATCCCTAGAAACTTTTCTGCCCACTCCTGCCACCCTGAAGCCAACTTCAGCTAAACGACAGCCTCTAAACATCTCAACTTCAACATCCATCACTCAACTTTAAGTAGAGACTCGAATTAGGAGCTTCTGTACTTTGGTCTTCTTTATTTCACAAATATTTGCTGTTTCTGATTCATTAGGTTGGCCTCTCTCTTTTTGAATGATGTTGCATAGAATAGTTCAGTCTGAGCACTGGTCCTACATTAAGTGGGCGGACCAGGTCTTTTGCTTTACTGGTCCTGGATCAGTGTTTTTAAGAAGCTACAGCCTTTTTTTTCTACATTAAATAAGAAGTAATGTGGCCAGCACACCATGCAGCACGCGTCGTTCTCGCTCAGTTCACGTGCATGGACGCCAAACCCCCTAACAAGCCAAGCATCCTTACTGCAAGTCATTCTTGTCCACCAATATATATATAATATTTAACAAATATATATAGAAAAATGTATAAAAATCAAAGGTCTTTGCCATCCACCTGTCCTAAAACATTTGAAAAGGAAGTGACAATATGGCTATAAAATGAACCTGTAAAATCGCATTACTGCAAGAACTAGGTCATGTTATGACAAGCATGTATTGATTCTAATATGAAAAGAGGCTATTTTGTAACCAAAAAAATGATTTTAGTAAGTTATTTGCTCAATTATTGGATAAAGATTAAACAAGTTCATGTTTTGTAGTTATTAGTTGTTTACGGTGTAATGCTTGGTGACGATGTTGGACAGCTGGTTTGGTGTTACTGAGGAATACATCTCAGTCCTGTTGAACAGCATCACACACTTGTACCTGCTCAGTAGTTAAATATAGGTGCCTGTTTATACATCAGAATATTGCTAAACTCTGGAGCTTAATCCGCTTTCGACAGCTAAAATGATTAGCTGCAGATGTTGAGCTTGCGTGAATGAACAGTACAGACATTTATACGCAGGCTGAGGTTGCACCATGAGGACGTTCTGTTGTCTGGGTAACGGAGGCTGACGCTACAAATGCGACCTGAGACTGAGCAGAAGTTGAAGCCACTCTGAAATCTGTCTGTGTGTGCGCGTTTGGTGCAGATCCCATGCCGTTTTACGACGTACGCTAATGTATCTGGATGTTTTGTTGCAATACTGTATGTGAGAGATGAAAGTGGAAGAAAAAATATTTTGAAAATGTAAAAGACAATTCATGGAGAAAGATAAAGCGACCGGGGGAACTCGTATCGTGTTACATCTGTTAGGATAAAAGTGTTTGGGTGATCTAGTTTCTTTTTTTAGACACCATTTGTGGTATATCCTGCCTCCTGCCTAATATCTGCCCTCACCTGCGACTGTTTGTTTGCTTCTGTGTTTTTTCTGCATACCCCATCTCTGTGTGCTCCCTCCCCACCTCCTGCTCCACCCTACAGCAACTGTAAATGTATTTAAAAGGTCAAGTAGATGTACGCAGTTTTTCTCTTGTTGATATGACACCAATTACAATAATTAATGACAATAAAAAGGAGAAAGAGTGATACAGGAGTACTGTTTTCTTTGTAATGTTTCAGTGAAGTTTGAAATTACTCTTATTTCCTTTTCTGTGGAAGATTAGAAGATCGATACCTCTCTTGGCAGCAAAACTGCTGCGTCCTTGCTCCGTCGAAAGGTGATACAAAATCTGCCTAGCAACACCCTTAAGGCTCACTCAACACTCATTCATTAGTTAACCTTCAACGACTAAAAGTGAAATGAATGTTCTATGCTAATCCACTATTAGCTGTAGCTTCATTTCTGACAGACAGACCTAAGAGTTGTATCAATCTTTTTATCTAACTCTAGTCAAACTATTCTTTACACATGCATCTGCATCTAGTCACAGTAATAGAGTCAGACATTTGGAAATGCAAGGGGTGATTGTGAAAGGTTTATTGTGGCAGAGGATACAATAAGTTAAGACCTAGGGGAAGGGTTGGGTGTGGAGTGGATTAATTTTGATGGCCACTCCTGGGCCAAAGCAGTCCCTACACTGGCAGATAGAGAGCCAGTAGACTGTGGCAAGAGGGGGGGGGGGGGGGTCATCATTATCCCACCTTCCCCTCCATCACTGCTCCACTTTGAAACAGTTGATGATATAAATCCCCAATGAGACAGTGGGACTTGTGAATATGAGGAAAGAAACATCTTGCGGGGGAACAAGGAAGACTTCCCGAGCAGTGGGAGGAGGAGGAGAGGAAAAAAGCACCACTTTGAACAAAAATGTGTAGAACAAAACAAAAGGCTTCAGGAAATGACATCTCATTGTCCTTTGTTCCCCCTGCTTCCTCAGGTGGTACAAGAAACAGCGAGAAGATGTCGCGACACCATGGGGTCTGCACAAATAGGATGCTCACCAGCGCAGAGCAGGTCCTTACACAGACATGATGTGCTTGACAAAGGCTGCAGATGGAGACCAGGGCAGCACACACAGGACAGAGGGGAGGGGAAATAAGTGAGTGAGGAGAAAAATCAGTACACTATCAAATAAAATCATTTAAAGGACGTTAAAAACCAAGAATAACATAACTGTTGAGATATTGATAAGAGTACATTAACATGTGTTCCAATACTTGGAATTCACTTAATTTCTGCTGAAAGTGCAAATTGACACCAACATTTTTAAGTTAAAGGAATTGAAAGGATTTTAAATATAGGCGAATCATAAAAAACAGATTTCTTTTGAATTATGGACGAGATCAAAGCAGCAAAAGTCAAGATATACTGACTTTAAGTACCTAGTGTTGGTCAAGTTGGGATCCTATATTTCCCATAAGATAGCTCAACAGCATATTTCCCCATGAGTACATCATCAGGAAGATTTTAATAAAAAAATCTCAAGATTTTAAGATACTTGTCAGAGCTTAAGCGGACTGACATTCTTAAAATGAACAGGACTTCAAGAATGAAAATGGTGCCGGGGATTTTTATAATATAAATACAGTTGTTTGAGTAAAGTTGGTATTTGCAGCTCACCCTCGTAGTTGACACAGCCGTTCTCGTCCTCCTGTCCTGTCATGAGAGCATCAATCTCGGCCTCTGTCATCTTCTCTCCTGTAGGGGGAGGCAGAGGACAACCAGGATTAATAACACACACACACACACACACACACACACACACACACACACACACACACACACACACACACACACACACACACACACACACACACCAAGTCACACGCACACATAGTGACACACACATTCATGGAGAGACACAGCGGTGCTCATGGCCTTGACTCACCCAGTGTTGACAGAACAATACGCAGCTCAGCACCCATCACTGTGCCGTTGCCCTCCTTGTCAAACACGCGCAGACCCTCAACGTAGTCCTCATATACGGCCTTGTTTGGGTTGTTGACGACGGTCTGCATCATGGGCAGGAAGCCCTCGAACTCTACTCTCTTGGCGGTCATGTCTGCATGGAAAGAGACAGAGATTAATAATTTTATCCAGAGGTGAACAACCCAGGCAGGTTTGAGACACAACCTGAACATTTTCACCTTCAATAATTCAACTCCACCTTTCTGCTACAGGTGCTACCTCTCATCAGGTGCTGTAAATGTTTTTTCTTTCTTTGTCCTCTATAATCTCATTTGGTATTTCTGAGCGTGCCACAGTAAGGAGTGAGCGCCATTCTGCTATTTTGGTTTAAAGGTTACAGAGATTTACACCTGCAGCAGCGCCTGTCTGCACAGACCAGATCAGAGACACACTTCAAAGGTACACTTCTCTTTTTATTATGACATACAGTGTATGAACCAACATTGCATTCAGGAATCTGATTACATAAGATACAGCTGCACTGCAAGAACGATCTTTTTGCTATTCTCTACACATGTCCTCTGTAGACAATAGGCACCCCCCCCCTACTGTTAACAGTCTCCTGTTTCAACATTTTGCCCCCTTGCCTTATTTCAGACACTTCTCTGGCATCATAGGTTTTTTTAAACTATTAAATATGACTTTGTTTTTTTATTAACTTATTTTGTATATTACTCCTATTGCTAATCCATTGTGAAATGGTATTGGTATTACTTCATGTACACTTTATATTTGTTAATCTTGTGATTTTTTTTTAGCAATAACTTCCTTTGTGATGACTAAAGTCATTTTTTATTTAATCCTATTTTAGAGCTGATTAAAAAAAACAACAACTGCTGATTGGACTTAACATTACCAATTCCATCCACAGATCATTTATTTCACCTAATGCTGATGTTAATGTTTATCTCTAAAGAAATATCCCTTGCAGCACTTCGACTTCCAGAGTTGAATGAAAACTGAACCATTACTGGTCATTGCAAACTATTTAAACATATTGTTCAGCTAATGATTGGTTAAACTTTGTGTTTTACAAAGTGGGGCCATTAATGACTAGTACACTGATATCCATTCAAAAACAAGAATAAAAGCAGTTTTTGTACTGTATGTCGGAATAAGAATGAATATAATAGTTTACATAGTTATACTATCATTTTATTATTTTGCTTGAAATGATCAAAATGAACATGAAAAATGGGACAAAAAAACATTTCAGCAAAGAATATTCAAAATCGGAAGACTTGAAAACCCTGGCATAATCTCAAAAATCTTCAATTTATTCGAAAAATGAAACTGAATGTATATCTACCTTCAGGAGTGGGGTTTCCCAGCATCTTGGCGACCTCCTTGTTGGTTGGGTTCTGTCCCAGGGCGCGCATGATGTCAGCGATCTGGATGTAGGCAACCTTGCTGTCACCAACCCTGTCGAACAGACCAAAGGACTCCCTGTAGTCTGCAGAGAGGAGAGGACATCATCACCTTTGATATTCACTAACTGATTTGTGTGTAAGGTGTTCAGCAGTGAGTGTGAACATAACCAAACTACACTTTGTGATTCGTTCTCCCCCTTGCATTTCAATATTATGAACTTTGTGTCCATTACTGGGAAAAATCACAATTGGTCAGTGGTTGGTCAAAGAAGGTAGGTAGAGCTTAGGCAAAATACTTGCTCTTAAACTCACTTGTTTATGAAGGGGGTGTACGGTTTTTATTGTGTAATAATTAGGTGCGAATAAAAGGTGCTGAAAGAAAAACGTAAAAAACTACATTTGATACTAAAAACAAGCGTAAATCCAAAAAAAAATGCGAACTGACTGAAGTCAAACAGGTAAAACTGTAACGGTGCGTCCACACTAGGGTTGCAAAATTCCGGGAATTTTCAAAGATGGAAACTTTCCACGGGAATTAACTGGAATAAACGGAAATTTATGGGAATAAACTGGGAATTGAAAGGTTGGCTCTTCATAGGGAACTTAAACATAGTTGGGGAAAGTATATTTTAGCATAATCTTGACTAAAACAAATAGATGCCATTCAACTACACTTGAATATCCATGCCATAGGACACTGCTTACTGCATGGCTATTGAGACCACACGAAGGTTCGCAACAGGCTCACAAATGTGAGAGTGGAAAAACTGGTTGGCATTCGGGCAAACCTAAGGCTAACATTTTGAATGGGACTTTGTGGGGATTTTTGGATGGGGGTGCATTTTTGTTCATTTTTTAATGAGTGGGGTTGGGGTGGATGAATAACATTTAACTCAACATTCCTGTTTTCGTTCTTCAATGAAACAAATAATTGTTCAATAAAATAATTAAAACTTGTTCTGTTCTACTTAAAAAAAAAATGTTTTAAAAAGAAAATCTGTCGAAATGTCATGTTTTTTTTGTTTAATGTTGCATCGAATATTTCCAAAATTCCCCAGCTTAACTTCCCAAGGAAACTTTCTGGAAACTTTCCAATTTCCGCCCCTTTGCAACCCTAGTCCACACGGTTCCGCCGCGTTGGATCTCGCCGGTGAGCGTGCCTGGCACGCGACCAACAACCAATCACATTAATCTCCCGCCCTGCACAAACAAGGACAAGGTTTGATTGGCTAGCGCTTGTACTGGCATATGATTTGTTTGCAGCTTCCGTCAATGCTTAAAAAAAGTTGAACTTTTCTCAACTTTGGAAGCGAGTAACGGAGGCAAAGCGACGCGACGGAACCACAATGCAGTTCGGCAAAGCTTGACGTCACCCCATTCAAAGTGAATGGGAAGCGTCTCCGCTGAAGCACGCGACGGAAGCACAATGCAGTTCGGCAAAGCTTGACCACCCCATTCAAAATGAATGGGAAGCGTCTCAGCTGAAGCAAGCGACGGAAACGTGTGGACGTTACGTAAGGATCCAAACGCACACCGTAACTACTTATCGTAATAGGTGTCGCCAAAAAGAACAGAACCAAGATCTTTGAGGTTATACATTTAAATTAACAGCATTTCACATTAAATTGCAGAAGCCTGGCTTACACTAATCAATATTTTTGTCATGTATGTCTTTTTTTTGCAAATAATGTCTTGTAAGGTATTTTAATCTATTCAGCTCCAGCTACAGTGCGACTGTATTTTAGTTGTTAAATTGTCTTGTTAAATATACATATCAATAGATCTGCATTTTCTGTAGTAGCCTATGT